CGCTCCGCCTCGTGGGCTAATCACCCACCGGTCCGCACACACGTTAAACACCGTTGGTCCATTTATCTCAAGACGGGCGGAGTCGAGAAATTTCGCCCGCGCCCCAAACGTGTAGGAACCTGATCGAACCGTCAAAGGAGTCGCAAGCTCAAGGTCCTCGGCCGCCGTGGCGGCCACCTAAACCCGGCGTCACGTCCAAGTCAAAGAGCGCCGGGTCTAACTCGCATCACTCAAGAACCCCAGTCTGATGCTCGACTTCTCTCTACCACTCCCGCTCTAGTAACTTTCTCACTAATCAGACTTCACCATCTAACTCGCATCACTCAAGAACCCCAGTACCGTGTCTTTCCTTGCCTGATTCCGTTGAGAATCGGGCAAGATATGCTCGTTTCTCTCCTCCTCTTTCCTCCGTCCGCCATACCTCCGCACACCATATTCTCTACTAACCTTCCTATCTACTAATCCATTCTCAAAACTAACATCATCATCGAAGTCGCCTTGCCTAAAACCCCCTATCTAGCATTTTTCCCCGTCGAAATCGCCCTCTATATGAGCGAGTACTCACTCTTTTCCTTCTCCACCATCCCACCTCTTATTTGCATGTACCCGGCGCAATATCGCGCCCGGGTACGTTCGTTTCTCACTGCGTCCGCACTCCGCCTCGCCCGCTCGCTCTTCGATGCTGCGCTGCGCAGCGCAGCCCATTTCATCGGCCAGGTTCGGCTTGTCTTACCTCCAACCCCCAATCTCGTCTTCTCCCCCGTCCAATCCCATCGAGCATCACGAGAGCCATCCTTCTCCTGCTGCGCCTCTCCTGCCAATTTCCAKTTTCTCCCTTTGTCGAATKTATCCRGTGCGKATTCGCGCCCAGATTCCTTCCTCCCATTCGCTCCCTGGCCTCGTTGTCCTCGGCTGCGCCGCTCTCRCCCCTTGCGTTGTCTCCTTYRCTGTCTACTCGCGAATGCACCTGGCGCCCTTCCCTGCCCAGGTTCACTTCCCCTTGCTGCCCGCAGCTCGTCACTACTTGCACACTCGCCTGGYTGCGAACACCGCCCGGGATATCGCGCTGCCTCGCCCTGCTCTTTCGCTCCTAGCGCAGCGCTCAACGATCACCATGGTCCGACTGTACTCATTCCCAGCGCTCCYTCCRTCGACTGTACTTCCRATCCTCTCCTTGAAAGTAACGGTACTCGGTGGTGGCTTACCTTASCRCCTCGATGAACCGTYGGACSGGCTCCACYATCCTTAGGCGGACCGCAGGGGAGAGCTAACTAWWCTCCGGTCTGCATGACTTCTTACCGCCGCCTATCCCCGAGTTCGATGTCGTTCGGTAGGCTTGTTACCACACCCTCCCCTGGTCGGCTCAGCCTACGTAGAGTTCACCGCCACCTTGGGCCCCCAACGCAGTCCGTAGTCTGAGCCACAATGAACCTGGTCCCAGTACGGAACTTGGTATTRGCAGCARCCTTMAGGSGAAGACCTTGACATCGACATMGAGGRAAGGTCCCKTGCGGACCGCGGCTTAGGACAGCCCTGACGCACAGCTAGCCTTGCGACAGTTTTACACGGGCGCCTCTCGCCCAGGCACAGTTTACCACCATACTTGTCCCAACAGACACACTCACACTCAGTCTTATCATAGCAAGTCGTGGMCGGYGGATGGTGCACCGCAGCGACTCTCGCTCTCCTCGGCCGCKCCGCCTCGTGGGCTAATCACCCACCGGTCCGCACACACGTTAAACCCCCTTGGTCCGTTTATCTCAARACGGGCGGAGTAGAGAAATTCCGCCCGCGCCCCAAACGTGTAGGAGACCGATCGAACCGTCAAAGGATGCGCAAGCTCAAGGTCCTCGGCYGCCGTGGCRGCCACTTAAACCCGRCGTCACGTCCRAGTCAAAGAGTGYCGGGTCACAAAAAAAAAGTATCMCAAAAATAACAAAGATATCTAAAAACTTTTAACCGTGCGAAGACGATGGACGAGGGCAAAGGAGAATGCTAGCACCGTTCTAACGCCGCCTTCGGCAAAACCAAAGGGAATAGCCCCGTCGGGCTCCCAACCCCACCGTTCTGTCCGCGCCACTCTAATCCTCGTGTCGTCGCCACTCGACCTTGTTTCCTGAACCCCCTCGACGAAAGTCCGTCGCTGTAACCAATAACGYTAAGCCTGAATCTGGGYTTAGCTYTGGYGGACGCCTAARTAACCAGCCAYCGTGCGACGCGCGGGTCTACTKAAATGCTTTCAGAAGTCACTCTGTTGTCGATCCCGTCCTCCGTMCGTACGCATGGGTCACAGGTAAGTGCATTAATCAAACGACAAAAAATTATTTAATCCTAGTTTAATCAAAATTTAAAATTTGACCGGCGCCCACGCCGGCTCTTCARTCATCAAAGATAAAAATCACGCGCGCCTCGAGCCTTCGCGCCCACACACTCTCTGCTCTAGTCAACTATCCCGCCAATGTMAACCTAAGACTCAACCGCGCCTAGYGCGGTATACTTAAACYTTAAAYYAAAACTATTTTCTATCGCTTGCAAAAAACAKGGCGGATACCCTTGTAAGGGTATTCGCACCGACAACTTACCGGACCATATTAAGCGACGTCCCCGTCGCTTCGCYAAATCAGAAAGCTATAAATCCATCCAAACTCCAAATGCTGACGAAAGGAAGGACCGATCCGATTAGCCGACAAAACAYAGGGTAGAGGCCTCCATCAAACCATGCCTTCACAACTATATGCTGCCAGGTTTCTAACCCGGGCCCCTCACCGCCCAGACATTAGGGCACGGACAGTATAAGTTCCAAAGACCTTCCCAATCGTCCTCTCCCCGGTCCTASACAACCTTCGGCTTCTCGTTGGGTGTCCCTMGTYCTGGYGAAAACTAGGGACGCGGGCCTTAATCGAGACCTTCGAAGGCACTCTCGCCCTCCTTCTCAGAAAATCTTTCACCATCAGATACACATACGTATATATGTATACTTGATATCCACTCAGCTCTTTCTGCAGTCTAGTACAGAAAGGCTAGGTCTCCACCTTGGCCCACCATAGCCTGGCTGATCGGGCCAGGACTACGGCCCACCGCATTGTTATGTAACGGCAGTACCCCTCGTTGGTTACGCAACGATGGTTTTTTTTTTTTTTTCTTTTTTTTTCTTTTTGATAAGCATTCAATCAGGATTCCCCCAAAATTATCAATCATCACTATCCCACGGAGCAATTTCACTGGGGCGGGCAACTCCCCTTAAACTCTTACCCCGCGGTCCCGCAGCCAGGTTGCGTCGGCYMGCAGCTATCCAATGGGGTTACGCCCTAGAGGTACTAACCTTTACCGTTTAACTTGGCATTCCTCAATGTGTCCGAGAACTAGCACAAGTGTTTAGACGGAGCGTCACAAAACAGAATCACAAGCCCACTACGCAATTAAGCAGGGGTCTGAAGGCATTTACCAACCCTTCCACAATAGGCATGGCATCCTTCGCACGCTCACAAACAAAATCACCACTAGGTCCACCTGGCCGTGACCCCTGAACTGATCAGAGTCAGCAGCCACTCATCCTGAGACATTTCTCACCCTGCACTCATTGCGACTTTCTCAAACATTCCACGCAAAAAAGCGTCCCTTTTCGTCAGACTTTATCACTCATCAGACAGCTCACCACGACATAAATCAGTTTACTCACCTTTGAAGGTGAGTCTTCCAGCAATAAAAACATCCCCTTTTCCAAAAAAATCCAAGGGGCTCTGATCATAAAACAAAACACCCCCTCTTCCAAAAATCACGAGGGGTCTCGCCACAGAACAAAACGCCCCCTCTTTCAAAAAATCACGAGGGGTCTCATCATAAGACCAAACTTCCCCTCCTCAAAAATTCGAGGGGGTCCCATCATAACACACAACATCCCCCTTTTCAAAAATTCAGGGGTCTCTTCATAGAACAAAACATCATTGAGAGACCATTTTATGGGTCCTCGTCACAACTTAAGCAATCAATACCCGGCATGGTGAAGCATTCAAGTCTCAAGGACTCGTAAATCTTCTAAAAACCCTCACAACTTTTCACAAATAGGCTGCGCTTCCTCCCCTTTATACTCTACCCTATTAGCTACCCGTGGGCAGGGCGCACGAGTATACCGAGGAGTAGACAGCTTCACATGTCACACATTCACACATCTTTGACCCAAGCCAACATTCATCAGGATAAAGCCACATAAGTGAGAGTGATAGTGATCGTCACAAAAACCAAGCCTCATAGGGTCTCAACTTAATATGTACAGCAGGATAAGGTGTCCCTCTCAACAATAGCATAGGTACCCAGCCCTCACATTCCACTCTGCTGAGTAACCCATGTCTCAAACACACGAGTACCTCGGGGTATACCTAAATATACACAAAAACTCAAATCACGCATATCTATCCCAATCGTACACGCCGACATATCACACATCTGGACACAACCATTTRAATTGCACCAAGGGAGGAAACTATTGATTTGTTTAGTACTACAATCTAAATATGTACAAATGGACAAGGTAGTCGTGACTATACCTGGATATGCACWTATGTAGCTCGGTCCCTATATACAAGAMATTTTTAGTCCTTCTAACGTACAGGTGAACCAGTCCTCACTCACTCGTTGTCCTCCTGGTTGCACTCATACAGCTGAGCTGTCKACAACCCAAGTCACTTTACCGGACCATTATTGCGAAACCSCTCCCCGGATCTAACCCCTACATATACACACAGCAAGTATATGTCTGTTCTAACTCGCATAATATGCAATTAGCCCCTTGTCGGTTAGTACGGGGTTAGGGTCACGCAACGGCTAGCCTGCTACTCMAGTTTCCAGGTCAACACATGTACAACTAGATTTTACCAACACGAATTCAAGGATCTAGGGCAGGCAATTGACAGAACCTTCCCAACTCARGGGTTAGAGTAATCCCCATTATGTCCTACTATACTTTCTCTACCCTAGTCATCTCATCTACCCTTTTCACACCCTTGATCACCTGGCTCACCCTAATGGCCATCTCATTCAGCACCATCATGCCCCTTTCTTCTTTGAGCCCCACTTATGGTCTCACCGACTCCCATCGCGACCCTCAACGCCTTGTCTGTCATTCCCACGACCTCCATTGCCGCGTCCACCATCTCCTCGGCCCGTGTTGCCACGCCCGCCATCTCCTCGGCCCGTGTTGCCACGCCCGCCATCTCCTCGGCCCGTGTTGCCACCCCCGCCATGTCCTCGGCCCCTTCCAACTGCTGGCCTTTGGCCCCTTCTACCTGCCATACCATCCTGCGGCACTTGCTGCATCGGCGACCATAAAGGTCCGACAGGTTGGATTTGGACTGGCGGGGGCACACGGGGCATAATGTTCATCAAAGGGCCCATATAATTACCTTGCGCCCAGGGCATGTAAGGATTATATGCCGACCACAAGCCCATTTGGTTACACAACGCCCACTGCCCACGCAAAGCTTGTTCGATCGGAGGAGGCCCCATTGGCCTTACCTCACCTCCCAGCTCTCGCGGGGTAATTGCTACCTGCCGCGAACTCTGCCCCTTTTCGGTAGCTTGACCGCCCTGAGCGAGGTTCCTTGCCTTCCGCTGCGCCTTTGTCAACTTGGGAGGTTCAAGCTTCCCTTTTTCTCCCGTCACGCCCTTTTCTTTATTTCCTTGAGGGGTACGACCAGTCTTTCCCCAACAATCGCATACCCCTTTTACCCAGTGTTCTGGCCACCACCCATTCTTTTGCCTCTCATGACCTGCAGCCGAGGATGCTTCCCCGTTAATGAGCCCCCTCTTTGGAATCGGCGCCATAACAGCCAGGGTCACATTAGCATCCGGCTCCTCCTTTATTTCAACGAATCCTTCGCCTTTGTTTCTCGCCTGAGCACCGACTCGTCTCTTTGGGGCTGCTATCGAGAGGGGTGACTCTCGGTCATCCTCCTCTATCCATTTTCCACTCTGGCCAGCTGGCTTACTTGGGGAATCTTTTGAAACCTTTCGCTTGCCTTTCCTGGCCTCTTCCAGCCGTGCTAACCTTCCTTCCAATACTCCCACTTGTCTCTGCAATCCACTCAACTCTGCCTGCGATGGGGCACCCACGACTGGTTTCACAGAGCATTCTCCACATTGGCCTTCCATTCCATCCTCTGAGAATCTTAGCCTTAAGGAACTCTCCAACTCATCCCACGTCTTCGCCTTCTGCTTTAGGGCATATACCTCCTCACTTAGTCCTTCACAAACGAACAAGGGGAACATGTACGACATCGCCTTCTTATTCCACTTCTTCATAAGGCAAAAATCATGAACGCCCCGCAAAAAGCTAGCCAGGTTCCTTCCTCGGAACAGCAAGATGCACAGATCTGAGGGCATTGACTCCCGCAATACTTCGTGCAGCAGCACCTTCATGAGACACGAATTCCTCCTGTGCAGGATTTTGGCGAGACCGCATTCTTCCGCCATGATGCTGACATCAGCCTGATACGCATAGCGGACAATAGACCATCGAACAATGATTCAAGTAAGCTCAGGCGGGTAAAGATTGACTGCTAACATTTACATCACGTTATCTACCCCTTTACTCATGCAATGAGGCCTCAACCCCTAGTTACCCTGACGCTTACCTTTACAACTACGTCAAGGGGTAGTGAGGCGACCTCAACCAAGTCAAAAGAAACGCATTTAGTGGAGAAAGAGGTATTCCCTATCGGCCCACTGCTGCCCATAGCCCATCCCAGTCTTCAATTTCCTCATTTGGATAATGTGAAATGGCATATATGTCCACCATACTGGCCGTATTCTTTAGCTCCTGACTACAGGGTGAGAACTTCGGATCTAAGTACAGACCATATATCAGTTCACACATATAGCGTCCATACTCCCAGTCTCGCACCCTCATAGCGGCTTCAGCTACCGCTTCTACCCTTGCTGACCCACCAAAGCTCTTCTCTA